AGGGAATTACTATTTATTTATTTGTTTGCCTTATCAATAAATGCTAATTTCCGTGAGTTAACTATAACGGTGCAATAAATTACCTGTAAGTACTAAGCGTTGAAATTACTATAAGACAATCCACAATGTTGAAGCCTAAACAAATTAGATTGAGACAATAAAAAGTTACTTTACATAGGGCAAACGATTTTTTTTTCATTACCTCCGTTCCTAACAGTTATTGTGCATTTTCTAGTAGGATTTGAATTTAATTAGCATACTAATTATTTACAAAACGTATCATTTCTTTTATTCAGTTCCTACTATTTTAGTTCGTTCTCTCTCTCTCTCTCTATATATATATGTAATAACTCCAATAATTTAATTGTAATAGCTTTTGCATTATTTACTGTCCGTTCCTTCAGGATAACCAGGTAATTATTTTAATTGATTACCCGCCTACCGGGGACTTAAGAAACTATCTCCATCCACATCCTAAAATCACGTGACGTCCCGTTGCCTATAAATACCGAGATCTGGAAATCGCGTGCTCTCTTCTCTTCTGCTCTCGCCTCTCTGCAATCATGTAGCCAGCTAGCTGCCGCGTGTTGTGTGTTGTCTTTGTTATGTGTAATGCTGCCCTGCTTTATGTTTATGTGTTTTCATGATGTGTATCAATAGTATTGAATACGTAACACCAACTAACATAGAAAATGTATCTAATATACAGTCATTCACTCGCCATCGGCCACGCCCAATCTTTTGGTTCGCAACATTTAAAATCTACCACTCGCCACGACAAAATATGCACCGTGCTATAAGTTTCCTTATATATATATATATATATCTTGTTCAAATTAACAGTTAATAAAATACTTTCTATTTATTCATTCAAGTTCAAATACATTGTTTTAAACTTGCAACGGATGACGATGTTAATACAGTTTTTCAAATCTTAATTCATTAATTAAATTAAAAAACGAATAAATAGTAACAAACAAAAATAAATAGTCCAACAGAATGTATAGAAAAAAAATCGTTCGTTGTGTCCCTGGAGCGCAATGGGTAGCGCGTTGGACTTCTAATCAAAAGATTGAGGGCTCAAATTCCGCCTGGGATGGCCTAATTTCTGAGAATGCGATTTCTTTTTAACTATACTATTTTATTAGAATATTTGAATTTAATTAATTAATGAATAAATAGTAACAAACAAAAAATAGTACAACGTCTTATGTAAAAAGAAAAATGGAAAATTGCAAGGAAAATCGCTTTTTGCTTGTCACTTAATATTGTGATCTGTCATATGTGTATATATATACATATATTTATAGTAATTATAACTATTTCATGAAAAGTAACTAAAATAAAAAATTTCTTTGTTGATCTAAGTAGGAATTCATTTTTTATATTACTTGGTTTTACGAGTATTTCAGAAGAATCTATGTTTGCATTCGATGTGTACTTTTTAAGTAAAAGATTAATTTTTATAAGTATTACCCGTAGAAGAATCATTGGTTCGAGTACTGACGTCCCTAAAGATTTGTGTTGGGATTTGTCTCAGACTCATATTAAATCTGGAGGGGCTTAAAATCCTCTCATTGCCATGGGGGAGAGGGAAATTTGAAATAATTCAGCGTTTTTATTAATGTAGCCCTCTGAAGCAATACAAGGGCCACTGACGATGGATATCGTAATTTTGAATCATGATCAAGGGTTGAGTTGAGTTGAGTTTGGTGAGCCAGTTTTGGCTATACTGCGCCAAACATTCATAGGTCTGTGGTCTGGACGGGAAAAGAAGAAAAGAAGAAATTGGATGACAAGATGGAGGGTCGAAAATAGAGAAGGATCACTGGGGTACCCTGGGGTCGTGACACCCGTGTTTACCAAAGATAGTACACCCCTTGGGAAAAGGAAAAGATCACTAGGGTACCTCGGGATTGTGACACCCGTACCGACCTAAAGAAGGTGAGCCCTCTGAGGGGTCATGATCAAGGAATCCCTCTACAAACTACCACCTCGCGTCAATATGAGAATTCTAAGTCAAGACAGATTTAAAATAAATAAGCCATGCTGCGTGTGGGTCTCTCGTTTCAGTAGCGTCAGTGAGTGTTTATTAAAATCGTACCATAAAGCAATGCGAGGGCTATTGGTGAGGAACCGTGTTAATTTAGAACCACGGTCAAGTGATGAGATGACACACATGAACTTATATCCCATTCTCCAAACTTCCACACCTTGCTGTAACATCGGGAACTCTCAAATTTACTTAATTTCATGGTAGTGAGAGGGATCACACAGATTTGGTTGAAATGTATTTTATTTACAAATTAATTCAAAAACATTTTATATAACTCCATATTAATGTTTTAAGTTCTCTCAGTCTTTCGCAGGAGAAAAGTTTAAGTCCGGATCAATGTTCGTTGATCTTCAGATGATCGTCTTCGGAGTATGGCTGTACCCTCAATCTTTTTCGCTTGTATCACCCCAGATCAATCGCTGGTGCGACTACTCCACAGACTATATCACTCCATTTTGAAGATATTCTTCTTTCAGAGGAAGTTCCTGACCCTCTCAAGCATGACTGTCCCCGTAACCTCTTTTGCTTGTGTCGCCGAAGATCCTCGTCACCTTCCGAAAGGATTCTTTAAACCCCCTGGACGGGCTTCTTTCACATCCCTAATAATTTTTGACTGATGAGCATCGCGGGTCTGCACCTGGCATCTTCTGTCTTAGTCCCAACTCCATTGATTCTTTGAGACAAAAGGCCGTCACGACTGAGATCCTTTATGTCGCCTTACCTCGTGAATCATTTGGAAGGTCCATCAATTGACTTGTCACTTTGACACTGGGAATAGCCTCTTGGGTATTTCTTCCTTACGACAGATTGACACTTTTTCCCATTCAAGAATTTCGCGGCCAACATGTGTGATGGAACAAAAGAATGATTGACCGTCCGATGGGAGTGTCCCTTCTACATAAATCGTTGAGACGAAAAAACCATCTGGATATCGGAGAAGGAAGAGATGTGGTAACATCAAAGGCGTTTCTAGTGTCAGCTCAACATTTGCCTATCCTCCGGGTTTGAGAGAAGAATACGCAGTCTGTCCATTCTGCTTCCCTGACCATACGAGGTCTGATCATCCCTGTGCTGCAAAAATGACAAGTATTGTCTTAAAGTGTTCGTTTATTGAGGCGGCGCTTGAATGCCAACGAGAGGACTTTAAACCTGACCTTGAAATAGCCCCTCTACACATGGTGGATGTTTAATGGCATTAGGGGTCGAAATCCTGATGCGCCAGCCATTAGTTCGCGACATAACCACTAAGCTACCACGACCATTTAGTGTCATGGGAAGTTAGGAGTGTAGCGTGGAGATCAGGCATCAACTTTTCCACTTGACCCTGGTTCGAAATTACGATGTGTACTTCGTGCTGTATGAACTTTAATATACAATTTGATTTCTGAAATAATTTTTTTTTTTTGCTAAAAATGTAACGAAAAGACTTTTTACCCTCGAATTATAGGTAAATCGAAAGAAAGTGATATAAAACAAGCAATTAATGTAACATGTGATTGACATTTATACTTCTTACTGCCTTAGATATATATCTATTTATAACCTCGGGCTGGGCAAGGTGCAGTGGCGTAACGGAAAATATTGGTGTGACGGGCTCACGCGTCTTTTCTTTAACATAACCTCTGGGTTCTTTAACGGCCGAGATTAATGGCAACTCTTTTCCAACCAAAATACAAGAAGCGAAATACGAATAATAAATGCAAATAAGATAGCTTTTAAAAGAACAGAAGTTTCAGTAAGCAGTATGAATTTAGGAAAGTTTTTTTGGGAAGAGATAAGCGTGAATTGACAGCCATCGTAAAGTTAGGGGATCCCCGTATTGCTAAAGGTGCATACCATCGCACGGCACCTAGACGTTTCCATACAGTGATTGAATCTTAGTTTGATTAAGGTGGGACTGATTATTTGATATTAGACTTGTCATATTATCAAAGTGATAGTAGGCCGATAATATAATTATTTAGATAAAGTGGCCCCGTTACGCGATCCGGTTTAACTATTGCTGTGTGTCGTTCATTCAAATTCTATTTATAAATTTTCTAAATTGTTAGAAGTTTTTTAAATTTTTTTAAAAAAGTCTATTAAGAATTTAAAATGTTGTTCATTTTGAGAATCCCACACCCTAGCTCACGCTGACAACTATGGTCACCAAAGGGGGGGCACACTTGGGGGGCCCGAAAGTCAGGTTTTGAGCCCCAAGTCCAAATACGTACTTGGCGTCAGTTAGGCCTTAGGCTCCCTACAATCCCTGCCCCCCGCAATGCGGGGGGTGTACGTTACGCCACTGGCATGGTTGATTCAGCCTTTCATCCCTTCAGTGGGTCAATAAATGAGTACCAATCTTGCTTGGAACTTAACCCTGGGAGTTTCACGTCAGACTGACTAAATAACCGGAGTATCTGCTCCTGCGTCGCCCAACCGGTATAGTGGTTAGCGACGCTGACTGGGGTTAGGACGGGGTTCGAATCCCGGAGAAGACATGGATGTTTGTAATGAAGTCCCTTTGCGGGGGGGGTACTTAAATAACCGTGGGCCGCAAGTCCTCTTGTGGTTGGTAAGGGGGAAGAGAGGGGGGAGGTTTCCCCCCCAGAGTGTTCTCCTCTAAATTGGGGGGGAAAACCGGCCAAATCGTACTGTCACCTCATGGTGCTCCGACGGCTAACGCAGGCGTCACTTAGCCCTTTACCAGATGAATTTGGGCCGATTTTTCCTTTGCCAATCAGGGGGATTAGTAACATAACATAACACATTGCTCATCCCCCGGATCCAAGGTTCGTATATTGAATTGGGACAATAGGTTTGGCCCTCTGTTGCGCCATGAGTTATATCATTTATATATCTTGTCCCAGTACCCAAAAAAAATTTTTTAAAAGGGGGTCTGGGGTCGAAAGTTCACCATTTTTGTATCAGGCTTTTTTGATTTTGTGTTTTAAAAAAACACAAAAAAAACTAATTATTTAATAAATAATTAGCATTAATTAATAAAATTAATCTTAAAACAAATATTTAATTAAATTTACGTACTATATACTTGGAATTTTTGTCAATCGGAAAAAAAAATTGGGGGTCCACCCCGGGCCCCTTTTGGGTGCGCCAGTTGTCACAATAAAATAATTTTTTAAGATTTATTACTTTGTATATAGCCATAAATCAAATTTTCAATAAATATTTTAATAGCAGTATAGTTACTAACTTTTTTTCCAAAAGTTCTTCGTGTTTCTTTTTTCAAACCTATAATTATATACATAAAAGAAAGTTTTATCAATACTGAACGCGATGTTATAAATAAAATTTGTTACATCGCTCGACCTGCTTAAATTTATTCATGTTAACCAATTATGTGGTTACTTTCCTACTTTTGATAGATATCACCTGCATGAATAATGGAGACGAACAGTGATTGAATTGTTAGCTAAACAGCTGCATTCAAATTAGGTTAACGTTTCTGCTGGTATAGAAAATACGTAGTAACCATTGGAAACAGATTTATTTATTTTTATTGAATTCTATTAATAGATCAACTTACATACTAACACCTATTTACTGAATAGGAAGCATGAGCTGTAAGTTTTTACCTCCCGATCAAATGTGATATATTTATTCTCAATCCCTACTGTTAGTTCACACTCTCCCTATATATATATATATATGTGTGTGTGTGTGTGTGTGTGTGTTTGTGTATATATCTTGTGTATATATACATCAAATTTTCAATCGTTAATAAGATACTTTTTTTTTATCCACCAAGTTCAAATGCATTTTTTTTTTAAAACTTGTAGTGAGGACTTTTAAAAGTTAATACAGTTTTTCAAAATTAATTCAAATTTTTTTAATTAATGAATTAAAAAAAATAATAGTCCAATGGAAAAATATAGAAAAGGTTAAACCTTTTTTTTCCCTGTAGTGCAATCAGTAGAAAAAATTTTTTAAGGGGGTAGAAAGTTCACCATTCTTGTATTATGCCCTTTTTTGATTTTGTTGATTTTTTGGGAACAAAAAAAGTAAAAAAAAATTGAATAAATAAATACTTAATAAAAAAATTT